GGATGCTGTGATTCGCCATCGGAGAATAGTGGAATACGCCGAGCGCATTCGTATCGAGTACACCATCCTGGTAGAAGAGTGTATCACTGCAGCACTCAGTAAAGCTGAGCGCATCGCTGCCGGTCAGCTCAGTGACTCTAGCGCCTCAGACGATGATGCTCCGCCAGAGATCAATCCTGCGGTCACTGCAGCTAGTCCCATTCTGTACGCCAAACGGGAAGCGACAGTACCAGGTCCCATGTCTGCCCTCACTATGTCCATGCGGAACTCCCCTGATCGGCTCCAGTCCTCGCAGTCGGAAGGCAAATCCTCGGGCGCCTCGGTTGCCGTCTCCACTGGATCGAACAGCCCCATGGAATGTCCCACGCCCCGTTCACATAAAAGCATTGCTGGCGTGCTAGGAACGTCGCAGCCCTCTCGACGGGGATTGTCGCTGCTTGAACTTGATGCAGGTGAAAATAGCGACAGCAGTATCCCATCTTCCATTTTTCCCGGTACCATGCGGACTGATTCGCCATCTTCGGATCGAAGTCTGGAGAGGAAGCGTCGAAGTTTAGTGCTCCCTGGGCTTTCGAGTTCTCCCCGCCGGCAACATTCGCCCGCGAGGGTTTCTGGTCCTCACTCACCGCTGCGAATGCCTAGAGCCCGTCTCTCTAGCGGTGCTGATAGCCTGCCATCGCCAATAGTGTCGCCATCGGCGAATGCGAATGAGTTGGCTCAGCTCCATTATCGTCACCATCGTCGACAGTCGTCGGCAACGTCATCTGACGTTGCCAAACCGCCCGTGTCGCCACACCTGTCCTCCGTTAGCCAACCTCAGCCACGACCAGCTCCGCTCTCGATCAAGGATTTTGAAATCATCAAGCCTATCAGCAAAGGTGCGTTCGGCAGTGTGTATTTGTCGAAGAAGAAGGCAACTGGAGAATATTTTGCGATCAAAGTGTTGAAGAAGGCGGACATGGTTGCCAAAAACCAAGTAACCAATGTCAAGGCGGAACGTGCAATCATGATGTGGCAGGGCGAGAGTGATTTTGTCGCTAAGCTCTACTGGACATTTTCCAGTAAAGACTATCTCTATCTGGTAATGGAGTATCTCAACGGAGGTGACTGTGCTTCGCTGGTTAAAGTGTTGGGCGGACTGCCTGAGGATTGGGCCAAAAAATACATCGCTGAAGTAGTCCTCGGCGTGGAGCACCTTCACAGCAGGGGCATCGTGCATCGCGATCTCAAACCTGACAATCTTCTGATTGATCAGACGGGTCATCTCAAGCTGACCGACTTTGGGTTGTCCCGCATGGGACTCGTTGGGCGTCAAAAGCGTGTGCTGAAGAGCATGAACCACGAGCCGGCGCCCGATCTACTCAAACAAGGATCGCTACCTCGAACGACATCAATCACATCCTCGCGCTCGGCATCTTTTGATTTTCAAGGCGGTGCTTCGCCAGGCTCGACCCCTTTGATTACGCCCGATGCGGCGGGCAGTATGCCTCAGCCATCCTATTTCAACCTCAATCAAAACGGACCCAGCCGGCAAAATTCACGGCGAGCGTCAGGGTATCGAAGTGACAGCGGAGCTAGCGAGAGCCTTAATGCAATCTTCAAGCAACTATCCCTCCACGAGGGCGGTGAAACCCAGGGCTCGATGCCCGTCCCTGTTCCCACAGCCAACCACACGCTCGAGGAGGAGAGTCAGAGTGAGGCTGGGGAGTCTCCTCATTTATTCCCTTTCCAGCCAACTCTGAGCAACTCATTTTCGTATAGCACTCCACCTCAACAGTCGATGATGCCCCCTCTAATGGCACTCTTCGACCCCGAGGATCACAATCGACGTTTCGTGGGCACCCCGGATTACCTGGCCCCGGAGACTATCAACGGCGTCGGTCAAGATGAGATGAGTGACTGGTGGTCTTTGGGCTGCATCATGTTTGAGTTTCTATTTGGGTATCCACCGTTCAATGCGGCGACTCCGGACGAGGTCTTCGACAACATACTTCACCGTAGGATCAATTGGCCTGAGGAAGCTGAAGACTTGGCGTCAGACGAGGCGATAGATCTGATGAACAAGTTGATGACCATCAATCCTCGAGAGCGTATTGGCGCTAATGTGGAGGAGAAGTATCCAAATGGTGGGGCCGAGATTCGCAGCCACGGATGGTTTTCGGATATCAACTGGGATACCTTGTTAGAGGACAAAGCGCAGTTCGTGCCAAATATCGAGAATCCAGAAGACACGGAGTATTTTGATACTCGGGGCGCCACTCTTCAGGCATTTACCGAAGAGACTGAGGACGGAACAACGCCTCCACAACCGATGACTGCTGGGCCATATCCTCAAGATCGGCCTCATGATGCATTGTTCAAGGTGCGCTCTCAAGTCAACGCAATGAAGCGGCCTTTGATGCCCCTCCACATTCCGCCTCATGTGCGAGAATCACGAAGCAGGAGGCTGAGCGAGCCCGCACCTGCCGATGACTTCGGCAGTTTTTCTTTCAAGAACCTTCCCATGCTCGAAAAAGCCAATAAAGATGTGATCCAAAAATTGCGCCAAGAGGCGATGCAGGCTCAGCAACGCCATCCGTCATCTGCCGGTGCTCAGCCATCCCAAACTCAAGGACAAGAACAGGCTGCACCCGCTCCCCCGCCCTCTCTCGAGGGAAGTCCATTGCCAATGTCTTTGCAGCGGACTCTCTCTCAAAGTAAGGGCAACAACAGACCATCCTCTCCTTCGGCCCTAAGTCAGGCCAACTCATCGCCCAGTCGCCCATCTCAACCTTCGTCCCCATTGCTTGTACAGTTCAGTACCGGCCACAACCACGAGCGCAGGAAAACGTCAGGATCGTCATCTTCTCAGTCTACCGGCTCGTTACAAACAACGACAGCAGATCCGAATCGAATGACAAGCCTGAAGTTCGGATCGACTGCGTCATCACCAATCAAGACCACGCGGGCTACAGGAAATTCTCCTGACAAAACTCCTTCAGGACAACGTCACGGCAGTGCCCCCGCATCACGAACAAGGTCACAAACCATTGGCTCTCAGGATGGCGATCTTTCCTCGTCATTGGCAAAGGAGACCTACGTGGGAACTCATCACAAACGCCGGAGTCAATTATTTGATGTTTCTCCTTCCTCTTCGGACAACGAAGATCCTCGAACCAAAGCCTTACTCAAGGTCCAACGGCGCCGCCAAAGCTCCAGGCGACTCTCTCAGATCAATTACCCCGAGGGGCCCTTCTTCCGGCCTCTGGACGTGCTCATCTGTGAGGATCATCCCGTCTCTCGACTTGTCATGGAACGTCTTTTCGAAAAGCTTCGATGTCGCACAATCACGGCTGTCAATGGTGCGGAGGCTATGCGTTATGCCCTGAGTGATATCCAGTTCGATATCATCATGACAGAATTCAAACTACCACAAGTCAATGGTGCGGATGTAGCGCGCATGGTACGCGAGACTCGCAGTGCGAACCGACATACACCTATCATTGCAGTCACAGGCTATCTCAAAGATTTACCAGAAACACACCATTTTGACTCACTAATCCAGAAACCTCCTACGACAACGAAGCTGACTGAAGCGCTGTGTAAATTCTGTCAGTGGAAGCCACCTCCAAAGGATTACAATCCTCTGTCAATGCCAGCACCGGTTATGCTCCGCCAACCTCCGAGTCAGGTTGAGCATAGCCCGAGTTCGACGGCATCCTCTGGCTTTGTGCATGTTCCCTCTAGCTCATACCGAGGGTCTAGTCGCGAGGACTCTATTGGTAGTAGTTATTTTGGTGACATGGAATCTGTCAAGACTGATGATGTTCCTGTGATTGTGAGTCGGAACAATGACGACTGGACCCCTAGCAAGGGCGGACTTGGCATAACCGAAGAGTCGAATAAGGCCAGAAGAAGCACAGATGCTGGCTACAGGAGCGGTCCCGAGGCAGTTCCGTTCCCCAACCTGCTTCACTCGGATTCGGCCCCAGCAACCGTCCCCTCGGAGGCGACTACGACCCCCCACAAACAGCGATCTAGCGAGGCAATTCGTGCCAAGAGAGAGTCGTTGGAGAGGAATCGGTATGAGTGCGGCGAGTCCGGTGATGACGAGGATGAAGAGCTAGGCAATACCCCCTCGCGAACTTGTAGTCCACGTCACCGAACCCATCGACCGGGTTCCAAGTTGGGCATTGAGATGATGAGGACGAACAGTCGAGGAAGCGTGGTCAGCGGCAGTGAGGAGCTACTGAAGAAGGAGAGAGAGTCCATGGAAAGACGCAGGAGTGGTGGTTCTTCTGGTATCAGTGATAGCGAAGAGCACGGTGGCCTTCACCCTTTCACTATGGAGAGGAAGTACGAGGGCCTCCATATTCCCGAGGAGGCGATCATCAGCACTGTGGAAGAAGAGGAGGAAGAGGAATATAGCCCTAAGCACTCTCCAACGCGAGAGCTAGGATTCAGGATGGACCCACCTGCCATTTTCTTGGATGAATCGTCTCCACCCGACACTAGGTCTGCGCCTGGTACCATTCACGAGCCCAACGTTGAGCCTTTCAAAAAAGGGCATATCACGCCTCCGATCGTCTTTCCAAAGAGCAATCTTGACCTGGCCCCCGTGGAAGACGATTTCGACACTCCCCGTTCCAAAATAAGCGAAACCTACTCTGCTGCAGACTTATCCCCCGATGCACCTATTGATCAGATTACAGACGCCGAAGCGACACCTCGGCCTTTGCCTACCCCCTTGCCCAGCTTCTACTCTGGCACTACTCACGATGAGTCTCAGCGATAGAATAAGTATCTCGTCATTTGGTCCTAGAAAGATAGACGCCGTCGCTGTCTTGTACGATTGCCGTCCGGGCCGGCTTGCTTCGATTCCTGTTTCTCACAAAACCTCCGTTCTTCATCAGACACACCCCCTGAGAATCCTGTTTCAACTTTTCTTCGTGCTATCAGATATTTGCTTTTCTCGCATGCATGTCAAGGCTGAGCGGGTGTTTCTGGAGTTCTGCGTTGAACCACCGCAATCAGGCTGTCTGGATGTTTTTTCTGTCTTCTTCTTTCGCTGTCATCTTTCTTCTTGTTCGCTTGGGACTCATTCATCTGCATCTCGCCGTTTTCTTTTTGATATGACCCCGTTGTTCGCCTGCCAGATCATTCTCTCTTCTCCTTTGTGTTCAAACTCTTGGTCAGTTTCTACTCACTCCGTGATCCTCAAAATTGCATCTCCTTTTGCCTGTATGTATGTATGACTGTCGCTCTGCAGCAAAAGTGGGAGGGAGAATGGAGAGAGAATATCGAGAGAAAAAAAGTCGTGGTGGGGGTATACTGTACTGTTTCTGGCAATTCTGCCCAAAATTTGGATCGGGTTGCAACTATCTATATACTTCGCCGACCGGGTTTGTTTTGCGATGCAAGCTGGATATATGTGGCACATTGCTAATGCCCTGTCCCATGGCCATTCTCTCTATCCTCTGTCATTCTTCTTCTCTTGCCTTTTTTTTTTCTTTTCAATATCTCTATCCAGGTCCTGTATATATAGCATCCACGGAGTTGAGTATTTAAAATTCAATCACATCTTGTGAACTCATTTGGACATTATGTACAAGTATCTATGTATGTATGTAGAACGGAGAGGAGAAGGGGAAGTATCAACATGTCGTGAGATCCGCCGCCTCGTCCTTACCGGAATGTATGTATATAACAAGAATCATCTGAGAGACATTTTGTTCGAAGCCGCTCTCTCAATCGCTCGAGCCACTACCACCGCCACCACCACCACCGGCATCCATCTTCTCGCTGCTGCCCCTCTTTTTGTGAAACAGAAACCCGCCCAGGAGCAAGACGACAGGAACCGCCGACAGGCCGGTCACCAGGGCCAGCGCCCAGGTCATGGTGGCCCAGCCGGCAGTCTGGCGAATGAAGCCGGCGAAGAAGGGGCCGGCGATGGTGCCGGCGGCGAAGGCGACGTTGAGGATGCCGTACGCCAGGGCCATGGCGCCACCTTTCCCGAAGATGTGGGGGTTGCGCGCCTCCTTCTCCTGGACGACGTACGACGCCTCGACGATGACGGGGGGCATGAGCGCGGCGAGGCAGGCGCCCACCAGCGCCAGCAGCGCGCAGAGCAGCACCTTGTCGTTGAGGGCGTTGGCCGTCACGCAGCGCATCGCGACGATGGCCGGCACGGTGGCGACCAGCGCGCCCGCCGCCAGGTACCGGCGGATCGTGGGGAACCGGTCGTTCACGTACCCGACCACCGGGTCGAGGAGGTGCGGCACCGAGATCGGGATGAAGATCAGCCCTTGCCCCAGCTGGCCCCAGCCGAAGGTGTCTTCGACGAAAAGCGGGAGCACGCTGTCGAAGGAGCTGAAGACTAGGGAGATGATGAAGTATGTCCAGAGGGTGACCAGCATGCGTGGGGAGGAGAGGAGGGTCGTGATTGCGTTGGCTTGCGTGGGTTTTTGTTGGGGTTGCGGGGGGTTTATGTGCTGCTGCTGTTGCTGCTCGAGATCGGAGGTCTTTTCCGGGATTGTGTCGGATGATGAGGAGGACGAGGGTGAGGATGGTTGGTCGGCTTCTTTCTGGGTTGCGTCTTTGTCTTTTGACGGCGGCGGCGGAGGCAGCTGCTGCTGCCATCTGACGGCATGCTTCTTTTCGATCATCACCAACCGGAGGACAATATCCACGCCGACGAGGCCAAAAGCAAGCCCGAAGACCGCGTAGTAACCCCCGCGGCCGTAGATGACGCCGCCGAGGAGCGGGCCCCCCATGATGCCCAGGGTCAGGCCCATGCCGATGTAGCCCATCGCCTGCCCGAGGCCGTCCCGGCCGACGGTGTCGACCATCAGCGCCAGTCCCACCGTCCAGACAATAGCGGCAGAAGCGCCCTGGAACAGTCGGCCGAGGATCCAGAGCGTCAGGTTGGTCCCCACGCAGAGCAACGCGGTCGATGCCCCCAGAGCTACCAGGCCGGTGATCAAGGGCCAGTAGCGGGAGTCAAAGCGGTCCGCTATGTAGCCCGCAACCGCTGCATGCGATAGTTAGTATTGGAGGTTGGGTTGAAGATGATGAAAGGGGGAAATAAAGTAAAGGCGGCTACTCACGCGAGGTGGCTAGCAAAGCTGCGCCGTATAGAGCTAGAAGGATGGACGTCCATCTTTGCTCTGTGCCATCACATTGACAAAAGTGATCAGCGGTTTGATACGACTACACCTCACGGTAATAACGTACCTTCATCAACAGACAAACCCACTCTTTCATGGAGAGCCGTGGGAGCAACCGGGACAATCTTCGAGAATAAGGTTAGAGAGCGGAAACGCATTCAAGCGGCACCTGGCAAAAGAGTCTAGATCAAAGGGAAGGGAGGGGGGGCGGCGCCCTTCTGAAGGGATCCACATACCAGCCCATACAAAAGAATATCCTAATTTCAACGTCAATCATTATGGTGTTCATAGGTCTCCATTATCCAAAGACATACCGTGAACACAGCAAAAGACACAACGAACATGATAAAGCCATCGGAGGACCTGAACTTCAGGAACCTCGGAGGCGTCGGAGCCCCATCATGGCCTGGCCACAGGCCACGCCAGGTTGGTGGCATATTTCTGCGAACAAGATAAGTGAGGGCTGGGCTGTTTCACTATTTGTCCCGAGTGCCTGCTTTGCTTCCGCACGAGGAAAAGAAAATAGTAATTCAAGAAGAAAATAACCAATAGCGACTGCCAAGCATAATGGGCCTGAGCCTGAGCCTGTTGATTGTGAAACAAAACGCTCCATCCAAATAATTGGGTTCTTGCTACTCATGATATGGTAGCGTTCGGGATCCGCGGGCCCCGCTGCGACGCTGGAGCCCGCCCAGACCGGTTTTGGGTCGCCGCAGGATCCATTCCATCTTGTGTGTCTGCTGTCTGTCCTTTGGAGATGGATGGGCTGGGCTCGTGGCGAATCTGTGTTGAGTCATGTTGAGCTAGCTTTGCCATCTCTCCGCGCTGCGAAATGGGCGGGCTTCCGTCGGTCTGTCTGGAATTGTCCGGGCGGTTCTCCATTATGTAGTTTGAGTATAGTCGCTTTTCCCGCAGTTGTTGATGCTTCCGGGACTATATGTGTATGAAATGTGATGACGTTTCTCGGAGGAACACAGGATGGTTTCATATTCTGCAGAAATGGCACGAGAATGTGAGGTTTCTAACATGTCGACTGACCTTCGCAGTCCATTGATATAGCAGTCAGGAGAGACCAATGGCATAATTCTCGTGTAACACGCAGTAACTTAAGTTAGCTCTTTTTCTGCATATTCCGTCCGGTTACTCGATTCGGCCAGCTCCTGGAGCTATGTAAGACATGACTAAGCAGATTCAACAGGGCGCGCATAAGTGCATCAAGGCGCTCACGTCACAGCTCCGTAGGGTGGACGAGATGGAGAAGCTTGATGGCTTTGCTACATCGCTCCTTTGGTATCAACTACAGGATCTTGAAGTTGAATAAGGTTGACAGGTAAGTCTCAGCCTTAACTCTACCCACTTTCAATAGACGATATAGGTACGATCTTCTATATATGATTTGATATTGACTGATCTTGCAAACTATTCAATCAGAAAGGAATATCTTATCTACATTTTTATTATCTAAGGGTACTTTTCAATATCACGAGATCCTCCAGATGCAATTATTGCTTCTCCGCAGGATGAGATACGCTCGGATGGAGATCGGAGCCAGGGGCATCCGTGCTGGCGCCTTGATCGGAGCGGCCCTGCTCCATCAAATCGTCGGGCGCGCGGCTGATGCTGCTGCGATGATGCCGGAAGAAACGATTGTGGGTGATAGAGGTCACACTGTGCCCGCCCTGGGAGTCAACCGATCGGCGACCTGCGCGCGAAGTGGACGGGACGCTCAGATTGGAGTTGCTGCGACGGCGGGAGGATGAGTTACGGCTCTGACGCTCGGCCTCTTCTTCCTCCTCTTCTTGAATGCGGCGCTCGGTGTTCTCCCGGTTGGTGGTTCGGACAATGTCCTCAACTCGGGCGCGGCGATCCTCGAAGACGTCGCCCATGACATCGCCAGAGGAGATATCACGCATGCCCAGCGAGAAATCCACGTGTTTGCGGGAGAGCATAGAGTCACCACGAGCCCGGGCGGCAGCAGTGTTCATGCCTTTGCGGAGGATGGATGGGTGACGGGTAGCGCTGCTGAACCCGGTATTCTCGGGCGCATAGCCGTGGTGGTCGCCAATAGGAGTCGGGGGAGGATTGCCATCTCTGCTGCCAGGAGTAGCGGGCATGTGAGCCTGCGGGAACCCGGCAATGTGGAAAGGAATATCGACACCGGCACCCTGGAGGTTCATGCGTGGTCCCTCGATGCCGATCTCCTGGAGGGCAACCATCAACATACAGATGAACTTGTTGCGGCGCTGCAGACGCAAGCCTTCGTTTTGCCAGTTCGACTTGTAGAAGAAGACAACATTGAGGGTTACAGAGAAGTTCTCCGTGATTGTGCGCATTTCGGTGAGAATGTTGGTCTGAAATTCACGGCGTTCACTGCGGACAAACTCCAACAGGCGCTGGCGTAGGGCATCAATCTGCTCGAGAGTGGTACCATATTTGATGACGATGGGCACTGCTTCCGCCAGTGCACCGGACCGACGCTGGTTCAGAATGAACAAACCGTTGAGGTAACTGTTAGGAGCCTGCACAACATGGCCTTGCATCTTCTTGAACTCCGTGTACAGAAGCGAAATTTGCTTGACAAAGTAGTCATCACCCAAACCGGCATCGCCTGCGTTACCATAGATAGTCACACGGTCACCAACATCGAATGGATGCTTCACGAAGACGAAGATGATGGATTGGAGAAATTCCTGCGCGGTGGCGGAGAAAAGCCACGACAATGCGAGAATACTAGACCCGGCAGAGGTCAACACTCCGGCGGCGGACGTCGAGATGAGCGTCAGGAAGACGATCACGGTAATGATGATCACGAAAAATTCCAGAATGTTGTCGAGCCTGCCGACGACAGAGTCCAGGTCCTTCAGTGATGCGGTGATGGCTTTGCGCTCCCGTCCGATCTCCACGCACACTGCTTCCAACTCCTCCATCGAGATATCTCCGTTCATATCCTTGTCAAACATGGTGAAAGCGGCGTCCGCCTCTTCGTTGTTATCGAAGGCTTCCTTGAGATCTCCAGAAAACACGGTCTCGAAACCATCCCGCACCAGAGTGCGATAGAGTCGACGAGCCAGGACCTGGCAGCCACTCGTGGTGCGCAACAAGGTCAGCACCACCTGATACGGGTGACTGCTGTTATTAACCGTGCGGCCAGTGAAGTCGGCAGCAACTGCGCCAGCCACGTCGCCCACCTTGTTTCCCACTTTGTTCAAGGCCCCCTTGGCCAGACGTCCTGCCTTTCCGGCATAATGCAGCGGGGTCTTCATTCCGGTTGGGGTACCTTTGTCCTTTTCCTCGAACTCCGTGTCTTCAGCTGTGATCTTTCGCCGAGAGAAGTCATAAAGTTTAGTCAGACTGCCGATCTGAAATTTGTTGATCTCAATGCGATCCGCGTAAGTACGGGTGTGGAAGCTGATGGCGATGAATTGGATGATGACTTTTTCGACCAGGTTCAGAATTGTCCATACAAAGATAGAGATGATGATCTTGTTGACTGTATTCTCCCAGGATTTTGTGCCGTGGCTACCGTCGACGTGATGGTTCTTCATGGTGGGCAGGAACGAGATTTCCACACCTAGCCACCAAAAGAACAAGGTGCCATGGAGCTCGAGCTGTTTGGCCATGTCACGCCACTTTTTGGCGTTGTTGGTGAAAATACTAGCAATCCAGCCGGCTACTACTGGGATACATTTCGAGACAATCTAGAAGGGGGCAATGAAGGTTAGTATCTATCCTCACATCATTCAATGGTTTGCACTCACTCTTCCGGCCCACAACGTCAACCAGACAATCTCCAACCAAACCGAAAACCAGAGCAACTTGACTCCTCCCACATTGGCGTCCGGAAACGCTAGGGCACCGACCAACAAAGGGATCAACAGGATCAGAACTAGTGGCACAATGTAGGTGAGGTAGCGCACAATGAAACTCGACTCATGGAGCTTCTTAATGAATCTGGCGATGTTGGTGTTGGGGTTCTCGGGAGGGTTGTAGACCGCCGCTTTCTCGTGCAATGGGTTGGTCGCCTCATCAAACTCATCAACAACATGCTGAGATGGACGAGAGCGGGATCTGGCCATCGAGGCACCATCGTCTTCGCCCTTTCTCATCGACCCCTCCTGCGTGGTGGAACGGGATGCCATGCGCTCGGCCTCAAGAACGGCCAGGTCATCTTCCAGGCGCATCGACTCCTCTCGTGCAGTCGCAGGCGAGCGCAAGGCAGCGGGATCATAGTCATACGAGGTATCTACCCGAAGTTGATTGCCGTGCCCGCTGGTGGAGCCATCGTAGTAGGTTCCCTCGTCGGTATCGGGGGTATCGCCCTCTAATCTCTTCTCATGCTGATGTACCGGAACTTGAAGATTCTCCGATGGGTGTGACATGCTGGCACCGGGCCAGTCGACGAAACTAATAGGCTCAAAGTCTGGTACCTGATCGATAACGGTATCGATTGACCCGGTCAACTCTCAAATCTGTGCAGACAGTCAGAGAAAGGCCGACATGGGATATTGAGAAACAGTAGATGGATCGACCGAAGAACATCCAGGGAATAGGAGGGAATACGTATTTTTTTAAATGGAAAAAGCCAAGCTGCTGTGGACAGTCCGTGGGGAAATTGAGGTGAGACAGTAAGAAGCGCACGAGCGAGAGTGTCGAGTGAACACTGGTGGGGACGATTGCCATAAATAAGATTACTAGAATCGATACATACCGCTCAAATGATTTAATTATGCATGGGATCTATTAGAGGTTTTGATAAGCAAGGCAAGTGAAGAACTCGCCGGTATTTTATACAAGCAAGTGGAAAGCAGTATGGAAGTACAATAAAGCGAACAGCTGAAGCAATGCAGTGAGGCGAGAAGATGGGAGAGAGAGAGAGTGTGTGTGCGAGAGAAGAAAGAAGGTGGAAAGGAAAAGGAGAAAAGAGACAAGACTATTGAGATGACAGGAAGACAGAAGAGGGACGAAGTGGGGAACTCTTATGAAGAAAAGACGACGAACAGACAGATAGACAGACAGACAGACAGACAGACAGACAGACTGACTGACAAACTCTTACTCCCATCCACAGAGCTCCATCCATGGATGGCAGCAGCAATAGAGCAGGAGTTGATCGATGCGGAAACCTCGCCGATCGCACGGGAAAGTCGGCCAGTGGAAACGCCCAAGAAACCGAGATGCTGCTCCCTCTGGTCCAGACCAATTTGCTTTGACTTGCTGCCCTGCCGATGCGCATGATTCGGCTGATTATTGGCGTTATTGGCAATGTTTCTACTGCAGCAATATCTATTCTTTACTTCCTTTCTCTCAATCCTCATCGTACTATAGTCATTATCCTCCGATCTACAGATACGACAGAGGCAGGAATTCCGAAGCTATCGAGTTAGGCCAGTTCAAGTGAGATCGATAGATTGCGCCAGGGCGGAGACCCTCATAATCTCATTCAATCAGCAAACAGTCAAGGCAACAATGGCGCCGGCCCCAGTTGTGGCTGCGGTGGGCGTCGGCACTAACAATGAATGGGCCCTTCAAATCCCCACTTCGAAAGAAGAAAGTGGATCCTTACAGACCCAGGAGTCCCAGAGTCCCAGACTGGATCACTGTGCGTCGCGCAATGACTCCGCACTGCATCGGTTGCTGCTTTTCGAGGGGTTATATCCCGATAGTATTATCGTTGGCTATCACCATCGTGACTTGACTTCCCATGCTGCATGCCCTCATTGACTTTTGATCGGGATATAGTACCTGCAGAAGTATTCCTTTGGTCGGTCAACGCAGATTCCCCGAAAGGTGGAAGGGAAAGAAATATTGACTGGTTCAGTCAAAGGTAAATGAAAAGAAAAATTCAACGACGCAGTGTGGCGACTGCCAAGAAACGCCACAATTCAGGCACTCCCGGTCGCCGTCATGGAAATTTCCCTTCTGAACACTGGCTGTTTCTTGGAACAATTGTTGTTCCTCATTGCGTGGAACATCCGAAGTGCATCATCAAGCAGAGCAAATTCTCTGGATCTCCGCGTCACCCCTGACGCCCAACCCAGACTTTCTAGCCAGAGCTCAGGCAAGCCGACGGGGTCCCAACTACCATGCGACGACGACTCTTGTGCCGTTATCTTTAGCGTTAACACGAGCTGTGTTTGGCCCTGACTCAGGGTAGCTCGTCTGCTAAAATGCTAGTGCTCTGTAGTGCAGCCGATCGTTGGCCCCGGTGGCTTCGGTAAAATCAACAACGAAAGAAACCTAAATAATGCAGCCTCTTATAATCTCGTGCAGGAGATCACCACACTGTTAGACAGTATAGGTACAATGGCCATCCCTTGATAGCGATAATACCTATTTCCATGGTCGACATCCTTGCATTTCCAGGCTTTTACCTTGGAATTAACGTGTTCATTGTGATGAAATATCTGAGTTTTGTGCAGATGCAGGGGCGGAGTTTTTATGCGCATAAATCCCACTGACCGGCTCGGAATCCCTAATCGAGTCGTGTCTCAAGCCTCCGACATCATAATTGACCCTCGACGTGTCCTACTCTACCCCTCCTTGTCTGTCTACTGCCGATCCCAGATAACGAAGCGAGCCCTTTTGTTCTCTTTTCGCGCGGTGCGTGAACCATAAGATGATCATTTGTTCGTCTCGGAGGATGTGATAGGTTCCGGTTAAATGCTGCTAAGAATACCATGTCAGGCGAGAATTGTGATTGTCGCGGTTTTGTAGGCTGTTCTGTCATCAGTGAGGCTTTCAGTCGAGGTTGTATGAAAGTTGATGATGGCGATGATGCGCTATATAGTCGTTGTATAATAGCTCGGATTCCCTGCATTTCTGAATCGAATAAGCAAGTATCATGGAGTCTGGCAGAACGAGAGGAGAAGACACCCGAGAATCGTTTGCTGGGTGGCCACGCAGTTTCAATTTGATACGGGTGCTTTTCAGACTATCCATGATGCCGCGGTTTCCCCGCATTCCGCATAGTTTCACGTGGGAGACGTTTAAGAAATGTATGGGTAAGGTGACATGAAAAGCCTGTAGCTCTTGGGTAAGTATCATACTGTCTTTCAATGCACTCGGAGGGGACTAGAAAATACGTAAGATAACTACACTAGGTACCTAGTAGTTAAGGTACGCACCAAAAAGCGGACGGTTTGTAAGATGGGACAAGGTTGTTGATTGGTTTCCTCGAGGTTGTTTACAAACCCGGTAAGCGCGTGTGTTGTCGCGGGTTGTTGTTGTTGTCCTCGTTGTCCGTCAGCAAAGTACCACCCGGTCATGGCACCATCATCTGTCAACTCTATCTCCCCTCATCACCATCTTTCCCTCTTTCATCGCCCCTCATCATTCTGTATCCCCCCACTGTCAGCTGCTCGTCTCTTCTCATCTTTATTGATCTCGGATCCCAACCTGATTCATCACGGAGTAAGGCAGCCTAATTTGCAACATGAGAGGCGAGGTAAGAAGTATACTGGTTTCCCGAGCGTTTGCTTCCCCGCACGGCTCCCCTCCTCCACCCCTCCCCTCGATTAGGTTCGGGTTACCTCAAGACGACCGGCTTGTTGTGTAATTTCAGCCACTTTCGGAATCTAATGTGATCTATCAATCAGGTCTGCCATATTCACATCGGCCAGGCCGGTATCCAGCTGGGGAACAGTGCCTGGGAGCTGTAAGTTATCCCCGCCCACTCCATCATGACATGATCCGCACCGTCGCCCAGGACAGACCAGTGCTGAACTCATGGCTTCATAACAGATATCTGCTTGAACATGGTCTCAACGCAGACGGTCATCTAAACCCCGATGCCGTTGATGAAACCAGATCTGCGGGCTCTTTCGAAACGTTCTTCAGCGAATCCAGCAACGGAAAATACGTCCCTCGCTCGATCTTCGTCGATCTTGACCCATCGGTAGGGCTTCTATCGAGTCAGTTCATTGGAAGTGATTATACAGGCTAATAATTGTAGCCTGTTGACGAGGTTCGAACTGGGCAATACCGCCAGCTGTTTCACCCTGAAACCCTGATCAATGGCAAGGAGGATGCTGCTAACAACTGTCTGACTCCCAGAAGGGTCTGTCAATTATAGCAAGCGCTGACTTTGTCTAGATGCACGTGGACACTACACTATCGGGAAAGAAATGGTTGAAGAAGTCGCCGACCGCATTCGTCGGGTTGCCGGTATGTATTCACCTGGCGTCACTGGCTGCTCGAACGTACTAAACAATATACTTACCATCTCAGATAATTGCTCCTCGCTTCAGGGCTTTCTAGTATTCCATTCATTTGGCGGCGGTACTGGCTCTGGCTTTGGCGCCTTGTTGCTGGAACGCCTTTCGACCGAGTACGGCAAGAAATCGAAGCTTGAGTTTGCCATTTACCCTTCACCTCGCGTCTCTACTGCAGTTGTCGAGCCATACAACGCGGTTCTGTCGACACACAGCACAATCGAGAATGCTGACTGCACTTTTCTGGTTGACAACGAGGCTGTCTACGAGATCTGTCGCCGCAACCTGGATATCCCACGTCCTGGCTACGACCACCTCAACCGCCTCATTGCGCAGGTGGTGAGCTCAATTACATCCAGTCTCCGCTTTGAGGGCGCCCTGAATGTCGACTTGGCCGAATTCCAGACCAACCTGGTTCCTTTCCCCCGCATTCACTATCCATTGATCTCATTTGCACCTGTGGTTTCAAGCAACCGCAGTTCGCACGAGAGCTTTAAAGTTCAGGATCTGACCTTCCAGTGTACGTGTTCTGCATGGTGTCGAGGCTCTCTCGTAGATATGAAGAGGCGATATCTAACAATGCTCTCCAGGTATTGAGCCCCATAACCAGATGGTGGTTTGCGACCCACGGAAGGGCAAGTACATGGCGGTCGCTTTGTTGTACCGTGGTGACGTTATCCCGCGCGACTGTAACCAGGCTATTGCCGCTGTCAAAGCGAAGAATACATTCCACCTGGTCGAATGGTGCCCTACAGGGTTCAAGTTGGGCATCAATTTCCAGAAACCCATGCGCGTTCCTAACAGCGAGCTCGCTCCCGTTGATCGGTCGGTCAGCATGCTCGCGAATACTACTTCAATCGCCGAAGCATGGGGTCGCTTGGATCATAAGTTCGATCTGATGTATGCCAAGCGCGCGTTTGTTCACTGGTATGTGGGTGAGGGTATGGAGGAAGGCGAGTTCTCCGAAGCCCGCGAAGACTTGGCTGCGCTGGAAAAGGACTACGAGGAGGTTGCCGGCGACAGCCTGGAAACCGAGGATCTGGAGGCAGAGTACTGAGTGTTATCCGCGTTCTGCTTTGATTTCCTTTGCGTCTTGGTCTGCCGAATGCTTCGTTTTCGTTCTTAGCGTGTGACAACCCCCTCCTGTTTTTTTGTTTTCCTCAGCCCCCTCTTGACCGTTCCTGCTTTTGCCTCGTTTGGCTTCACTTGTTTTGGCCAAGAAAATTCGGGAGAAAAAGCTAGAGGTGCTCCGGGATCTGTAATGCTGTAATGAGTCTGCGGTCTAAATACGGCCAAGGTGGATTGTGAATGATGTCTATTACGTCGTTGAATAATTTACAAGATGCTATTCTAAGAGCTGGCGTGTCGTGTCTAGTGTATCCGAGCCCCAACAATCCAAGTCAACTAGCTGCCACCCAGAGAGTCTCGCTCAATCGGCAGCGATCTCCATATCTTGAAGCACGCGCAGCGTAGTCTCATACGTCCACATGGTCACCGCACTGGCCGGCGCCGCCTTGAACAAACTGACCGTCAGTCCACGATACAGGCCCCGAACGCCCTGCGTCCTCACAATCATCGCCATTGTACTGAAGACCCCCCGATACTCCGGAATATTCCGATGCACGTACAACAGCCGGGTCGGGCCCTGCACCTGCAACCGCTTCCGCACCAGATCCAGCGGGAACATCGCCGTCTTGGCCAAGACGCTCGCCATCACGCCGGCCGCCGCATCCCCACTGCCCGCCGGCAGGTAGGGCACCTGCTGCGGCAGCGTGGCCACGACGGGCCGCAGCGCCTCATACGTCGCGAAGAACAACCCCATGTACGGCACCACCTGGCCCACCGCGGCGCTGCCGCCCCGGAAAAACCCCCGCGGGCCCTCCTGGCGCGCAATATCCCGCACCGAGGCCAGCAGCGACGTGTAGACGCGCTCCGTGCCCTGGGCAGCGAACCGCGTGCGCAGCAGATCCAGCGGGTAGGTGGACAAGGTGGCCAGGCCGCCGGCCAGAGCCCCGGAGATGAAGGATTCGGCTGAGGGGGGTAGGCGAGTGGGTAGTTCGGTGGCGAGGATTTGGGTCGTCGTGCGGTAGGTGCTGAATTGGATGATGCCGTAGGCCAGGTAGAGGAGTTCCGCGGGGACGTTGCCTTTCCAGAGACCCTGTTTTTTTTGGGCATGGTTGTAAGTGATGTGGTCTGGGGTTTGGGTATGCTGGGTGTATCTCGGGGAAGGGAAAGGCTGGGAAAAACGCACTGTGATTCCTTCCTCGCGGAGGATCGACTTCATCGTCGATAGAGTGCCCTTGTACACTGGTCCGGTGACATGTTGGTGGGAGATTGGGTCGGAGAGGGAGTGGATTTGCAGTTGGAGGCGGATTTTCACGACGTCGAGGGGGGCGATGCAGAATCTGGCGTGGTTTTGGGGTTTCCGGTCAGCTTTGGCTTCAATAATGAAGCGATTTGGGGGCAAACGCGAGTTGGTTGCGATGCTTGGGAGAAAAACCATAACGTACCGTGAGAAGAGGCCTGCGATTCCGCCCGCGAGGACGACTTGTCGTCGCGACCCCTGAGGAAGGACATGTTAGTCGATTTGCGCCTTGTGTGTGTGTGTGGAGGTGTATCGCAGCGTGTAGGTAGATAAGAGCAAGACCGACTTGCATAGTCGCAATCCAGCCAAGCCCAGATCCATGCACTCACCTCATCCTTGAGGTGTTCGCCCCCGGCCGACATGCATGTGATTGCTGAGGGTCAATTGGGGAGAAACAAAAACCAGAGAAGATCGGCGGGGGTTTTTCGCGCGCAGGCGCTGGTGATTGATCTGATCTCAAATGTAGCTTTATACCCGATAGAAGGTCATTTGAATCTGGCTCGTGGCGTTGGAGAAAGGTCCACAATACTTGTATGCGACTTTTTTTTGACTGAGTACCAAGTTGAACCGGCGATTGGGTCAGGAATACGTCAAAGGGTGAAATCTGGATGGTCTAGTCCTCCAATTGAACTGGAGCCGGCTAATTTTAGTGCGTCTCCGATAGTGAATGCGCTGATAACACGCAGTCGGGGTGTAGTTAAGTGGGTGCAATGATTTGTGTCGGGGCGATAGATGATCGCCCAGGGCCAGAAAAAATGAAAGGCGCTCCCGCGCGCCATGACGAGAACTGAGGCTCGTTCTACGCGCCATTGTTGGTCTAAGAGCAAGAAGGGGAGCGCATTGTGATTTTGTTCGGGGAATAACAAATTCACTGATGAATTTTTCTCTGCACCATGTCTATGTTCAGGTGGTGTTACTTTAATTGTTTTCCGGTGATAACACTATGCCTGGCAGATTAAAGCGGCATGAGGCTAGTCCACAAGCGAGAAGAAAGCGCGATGCGGATTGCGGAGAAAGAGTTCGACCTCCGAGCCGAGGCTCTCGTTCTTGACTGTTAGCTGATGTGCTTTGCTTCCCCTCCATGATTTCCTTCCCTTCTTTTCTTTAGTCCGGTTGCTATATATATATGCTTCCGCCTCATCTTGTGCAGCAGCGCTCGGAGCTCAGATGAAGTGAGTTCGACATGGCGTCCTTGTTAACAAGAAGCCTCCTGCGATCTCCTCGCATCGCAACAGCCCTCACCCCCGCACTCCGCCGCAGCTACGCAAAGACACCAAGTCTATGGCAGGAAAGGAAGGAGGAACCCGAAATTTCAGCAGGGCATGGACGGTCCCCTGCTCCAGTGAATCCTTCCGTTCTCATTTCAGAATCTGAGTTCGACCCAAACGACCACCAAGGCGCCGCCCCCGAAGATACTCACCCTGAACGTGACCGCACCACCGTCAATGAAGAAGGTCGGCCGTCAGTCAGACCCTTGCGAATCCCTATCCAGATCGAAGGTAAATGGGTGGATGGCATCCAGGCGACACAGGATGCTCTTCTGATCAAGCAACCTGGACGGAGGGAGTTCTCGGTACTCTATCACACGCTGCGCGATGCATGCAAATGCTCGCAGTGCGTCGACCCGTCTACCAAGCAACGCAATTTCCGCACCACCGACATACCCCTTGACATCCAGCCGCGGTCTATCGAGATCAATCACAAGCGAATGGTGGTAAATTGGGACCGGGGAATGGCAAAGGGCGAGAAGATACACATATCCCAGTACGACATCGATCATATCAAACACGGCGTCTTCGCGCCCCTCCTGGAGGTTGCTAGCAGCAAGAGACGGTGGCGAAAGATTTGGAACCGTGCGACGATCGAAGAACATGTGTACTGGGTCGATTACGAGGATTTCATGCAGGAAAGTGAAGAATTCGCCTTGGCGCTGCGGAGCCTGGCCGAAACGGGACTCATCTTTGTCAAGAACATCCCGGACTCGCGCGCCGAGGTCGAGAAGATCGCGACGCGGCTCGGTCCCCTCCGCAACACGTTCTACGGCCCGACCTGGGATGTGCGCAACAAGCCCAATGCCGAGAATGTCGCCTACACGAACCAGTTCCTGAACTTCCACATGGACCTGATGTACATGAACGAGCCCCCGGGGTTCCAGCTGCTGCACTGCCTGCGGAACTCGTGCGACGGCGGCGAGTCGCTCTTCGCCGACACCTTCCACGTGGCGCGGTCCATGTACCATGACCGGCGGCCGTACTGGAAGGCCCTGACGCGGCTGGACCTGACCTACGAGTACAACCACGCGGACCACTTCTACACCAACACCTGGCCGGTGTTCGAGCAGGAGTTCCCGCTGCCGCGGGAGGGCCTCCGGCGGCGGCTGACCCGCGTCAACTACTCGCCGCCCTTCCAGGCGAGCATCACGGACCGCTACCCGGACCACGGCGAGTACGCTCTGGCCGTGAAGGCGCTGGCGTACTTCGCGGCCAAGCTGGAGGACCCCAAGAATGTCTTCGAGCTGAAACTCGAGCCGGGCCAATGCGTCATCTTCGAGAACCGGCGCGTCGTGCACGCCCGCCGCGCCTTCAACACCGCCCAGGGCGATCGCTGGCTGGCCGGTGCGTACGTCGACGAGGATGCCGTGCTCTCCCGCGTCCGCACCGTGATCCGCAACCGGGCCTTTAGAAATATCTGGAATGAGCGCGACTACAGCCCTATGTTTCCCAGGATGCCAAATCAAGCCCGACGGAACAAGGATCCTGAAAATTGGATGGCAAACGTTTGGCGAGCGGAAGACGAGTCGGAGTCGTAGGTTTCGAATTCCTTCATCGTGCCATACTTGAATATGCATGTGTCTCGCCCTCCATGGCTAGATGCCCGAATAAAGCGAATTGCTTGACTTGCAAATTTTCATCTGTCCCTCATAAACAATATATCGCATGACTTCTACGAGAGGACATACACCGCATATTTTGCTTCCATGTAGAGGATGTAAGACGGACATATTACTTCGAGCGGCACAAGACCAGAGACGGCAAGGCAACGGAAGAAACTGAAAACGGTGGTACAATAATTAAATCTTTTGATTTTTTCTCAATATCCATCGCTAGATCTTAGAGAGAACTTGACAACTGGGAAGTATCTTTGAAAATAAAAAAAATGACGAGGAAAATACAGGGACCCCCAACAACGCAGACCTATTCTATAATACTCAGACAGCCTTGTTAACCGAGTACGCGGCGAGGAAATCCGGGTCATTCTCAAGTTCTTCCTTAACCTGTAATTGCGAGAGACGTTAGCACGATTGATTTGCTTAGAAAAGAAGGCAGAAAAGAGGCAAAAAGAAAAAAGAAAAGAACATACAATATCCAACCCACCGACCAACTCGCCATCAACCCACAGCTGGGGGAAAGTGGGCCAATCGGCGAACTCCTTCAGACCCTGGCGCACGTCCTCATCGGCCAGGATGTTGAAGAACCCGTACTTGACGCTGCGCTCGCGCAGGATCCCGACCAATTGCCGACTGAAGCCGCACTGGGGCGCGCTGGGCGTGCCCTTCATGAACAGCATGACCGGCGCGGCCTTGACCAGCTCCGCCAGGCGCGCGAAGAGGGCCTCCTTTGTCTCCGCCGTCGCGGCGGGGCCAGCGGCAGCTCCTCCGCCTGTGGCTCCGTTGGGCGCCTGGGTGGCGGTCGTGGGCGCGGAGGCGTCCTCGCGGGGCACGGCGGTCAATGGCGGGGGGATGGCGGTCTTCTGCTGTTGTGTTTGGGGTTGCTGTGTCGTGTTGCTGCCGGCGCCGGCGTAGCGCTCGACGGCATCGCGCACGCGCACGGCTTCACTGCCGCTGATGGACTCGAGGATCTGGCCGTCGCGAACGAGGACGACGAAGGGCACGGCGGTGACGTCGTAGTCTTCGGAGATGTCGGGCAGCTCCTCGGCGTTGACGCTCAGGAAGGCCGTCGTCGGCGGGCTCGTCGCCGGGTATTGCGAGGCCAGGGCCGACAGCACGGCTCGCATCTGCGTGCAGGGCGCCGCCCAGGGGGCGTGGAAGTACAGCACCAGCAGGCAGGTCGGCGGCAGCGAGGAGAGGTAGGTCGGGAACTCGGCCTCCGTGGCCACTTCGATGAGGGCGGACATTGTGCTTTTGTTTTTCTTTTTTTTTTTGGTGGGCTTTTATTTGCTGGTGGGTTCGGGGCAGGAGGGGAGAGGGAGGAAGTCTTGTGTGCGTGTGTGACTGTTACGATGGCGTGGGGTGGGGGAGAATATGAGCGAGCGCGGGCGGCGGGCGAGGTCGGCGGCGGCGGGGAGGGGGGGGGACCTTTAGAGGGCTGTCTGTCGAGAGCTGCTGCACTGGATGAGAGGAGAAGTTGTTTGCTTGAATCTGCTTCGTAGAACAGGTTGTGGTACTCAATCTGGTGAGTATATTGAGTAGGAAGGAGGGGAAAGAGAATAGGTGACCAAAGTAGCAAAGACAATAAGAAAAGCACCAGGTACTATGAATGGAACAATCGAGGGAAGAAGAGGGAAAGGATGATCGATGGCGAAATTTTGGCCGCTTATCAGATCGAACCATGTTTTGTAATACAGCTACTATGTAAATTATTCCCCCTCCCTCCTCCACCCATCTTGCGATCTTCGGCGCTCTGCAGCGGGTTTCATTGGTGGGATCCGAGGAAAGAAAGCTTCAGGATGAGTAATCACTTTGCCCTCGGGATGGACGCTTATCGGGAATAGATCGATTCATTCATAAAACTGCAACAAATGGTCTCTGGAGTCTGGCTTGAAATTCCTCGTAACCATGAGTTCAGCTATCGCGAAGCCTACTGTATAATGGCTCCTGGACCCTGTGCAGGTTCAGCTTGCGTGTTTCGCAGATGCAGCCCTCCTGCAGACGCTGCAGCAACCACAACTTGAACTCATCACCGCCTACGATATGCTATCATCACGTGAGCCTGAGATTGATAGGATCTTCGCCGCGCGACATCCGAGCTCTGTCAATCGCCAGGCGAATTCTCCCCGTTTTCTCGACATTTTTGCAGCGGATTAGAAGGCGATTCCTTGTCTGAACCGGCTCTTGAATCAACTTGCTGAAACCGGTGAAGCTGGGTAAGCTGCTTCAGACACTTCCACCTCTTGCCGCTGTCAACCCAGAAATGGCCGGATCCAGAAAGCGCAAGCACGCCGATTGCTCGGACGACGAAAGTCCCGTGAAAACCAACCCAGACATAGGGAACGGCTTCGGAGTCGCACAAACCCTTGCGTCCCTTCAGAGGTCGACATCGGAATCAAACGGCAACAACGAGAACTCTGCGACGTCCGACGCCGGGGCCGATAAGGCGCCAAATGGAGCTCAGCGACCGAGCAAGAAGAAGCGTGTGGATGGTGTCAAGACCAAGTACCCCGTCCTCACATACGTCGAAGGGCGATTACAGTCATCCATTCGGATCGCAGACCTACAGAGTCTGCTCCTATACTGTTTTGCCGATGGCATTGCACCACAATGGATCTCCATCAAGCACTCCGGCTATGTTCGAAAGATTGTGGTAGTGATGGTACCCGGCCTGGAACTTGGGATGCTGGATGGATCTATACCGCTGGCACCGGAGGAGACCAGCGAGCAGATGGACGTGGACAAGGATACAGAAACTACGGAGAAACAGGAGGAGGATCCCAAGACGGCGGACTTTGCCCGGTGGAAGCAAGGCCTGCCTCTGGAGGATCGGTCCCACCGGTTCAACCCGCGGCCGTTGACGCGGGAGAGTCTCCCAGAGCCTCTGCAGTCGTTGGCCGATATGTTTCCTCACGCTTGGCCGGTGAAGGCGCCTGGAGACACGAAGTACAACAAAGTGCACTCGCCGCTCCAGGCGATGCTCCTCACGCCACTTCCGAAGAACAAGGACAGTAACAACACGAAAGGTCCGAAACCGGTCAGGGTCGACAAGAACCAGGCTTCCCAGAGAACGCCAATCACTACGTTTATCAGTTCCGTCGCGGATCTGCGCGAAAACGACTACGTCCTACATCCGGCTCTCATGGCCAGCGAGCAAGAGAGGTTGACTTTAGCGGAGAACCGCAAGCGAGCCGGTCAATCTGCAGAGGATGGATGGGTTGATACCCACGTTGAAAGTCTAGAGGCTGGCCAGGTACCGGAGGCTGAGATCCAGCAGGGAAGCATGACCGCTGGACGGGACGTATTGGCGCTGGATTGCGAAATGTGTATCACGGAGGGAGGCCAGTCCGAACTCACGCGGGTTAGCTTGGTCCGCTGGGACGGGGAGGTTGTACTCGACGAGCTCGTAAAGCCACAAAAGCCCATCATTGACTACCTCACCCGATTCTCCGGCATCACCAAGGAGAAGCTCGACCCCGTCACCACCACCCTCGCCGACATTCAGCAGAAGCTTCTCACCATCCTCACTCCCCGAGCCATCCTCGTCGGCCACTCCCTCAACTCCGATATGAACGCCCTCAAGATGACCCATCCCTTCATCGTCGACACCACCTTCATTTACCCCCACCCACGCGGCCCGCCCCTCAAATGCAGCCTGAAGTGGCTCACTCAAAAATACATGGGCAAGGAGATCCAAAAGGGCCAAACCGGCCACGACTCCATCGAAGACGCTCGCGCCGTGCTCGAGCTCGTCAAGCAGAAGTGCGAGAAGGGCGAGCGCTGGGGCACAGGCGACAATTCCAACGAAAGCATCTTCAAACGCCTTGGCCGCACCACCCGGCCTGGCAAGCACACTCCCTCAACCAACAACAACACAACCAATAATACCCCTGAAGGCCGCACCGGCGCCGTTGTCGACTGGGGCAACCCCGAGCGCGGCTTCGGCGCCCAGGCGACCGTCGCAATCGGCTGCGTCGACGACAACGACGTCGTCGACGGCATCGCCTCCGCCGTCAACGGCGACGACACCCACCCCTCCATCCCCGGCGGCGGCGTGGACTTCACCTGGGCGCGTCTGCGCGAGCTCGAACTCCACCGTGGCTTTTGCAACCGTCTTCCCGACCCCAACAACGCCAACGAATCGACCGCCGTAGTTCCTGCCGCCGAGGAAACCACGGCAACAACAACAACAACAACAACAACGTCCAGTAATGCCGCTCCCACCGCAGCAGCCACAAGTACGGCGTTACCCTCTGAGGAGAAAACAGAAGAAGAGCGCCCAGCAACGACGCCACAATTATCGGACGTGGTCAGCCGGACGGTCGCGAACATCCGGCGCATCTACGACGCCCTCCCGCCCTGTACCTTGTTCATGGTCTACTCGGGCACCGGGGACCCGCGCGAGGTCGCCCGTCTGCAGGCAATGCACAAGCTGTTCCGCGAGGAGTATAACTCCAAGAAGCCGTGGGATGAGCTGAGCGTCAAGTGGACGGATACGGAGGAGCAGGCGCTCAAGAAGGCCTGCGAGCGGGCCCGCGAGGGCTGTGGGTTTATGTGTGTAAAATAGATGTGTACTGTGTGTGTTTCCCGCTTATCTAGGGCGGTCAGTGTCTTGGAATGGTGAAAATTGGGGGTTGGATCTCGAATCATGTATCTACTTTTGGGGAGGGGGGGGAGCTTCAGGTACTCTATCAAGCCATTGATCTATTTGTGGATTTATGTGGCTTCGCTTGTGGGACTTATTCCATCCGGGTCTCATGTATGGATCATAGATACCATCTGATTGTTATTCTGATAAAGGGAGGTAGATTGTAGCTTTGACCTCACACGGAAGAGGAAATATTGTTCGGGGGTTGTCTCGAAATTCAGAAAAGGAGATACAATCTAGACTTAACCAGCCGAGCCCGTCCACCGGATTCACCCACCCACCCACCCACCTACCCGTTCACCGATACGCCGGTAAGGAGAAACTGAAGGGAACATTTTTCGTGCGCCGAAGAAGACAAAAGAAAAAGCATGGCATAACCTTGGAAGGCCAAGCTTGGGGTTCTTAAAAAGACAGGAAGGGCTGAATCGGATAATGTTTTGTTAGCTAAGAGGAGGCAATCTGAGGGAATTCCCGCCTTCACCGATATTTCATCGAGAAGTATCGGTTTCCATGGCCTCCTCACGTTGCATAGCCAGTCGGACCATGATGTCGCGCGCGGCGGTCTGGGCCTTGCGCTTCTCGCTGGTGTCCGTGGGCTGAACGTCGTTCATGGCAACAGGGGGGTTTTCTTTGCCGGCACTGGGTGGGTTCGGCTCGGTTGTGTTGAAGGTTTCACCATTCTGATGGCCGTTGGGGAGTGACTGGCCTGGCGCGGAGAATAGGTTGTTTGCAGACTGCCGTCTTCGGAGGCTCCGAGAGCGTGTCCGGCGAGGTTCTTGGCCCGGGGCTGGCTCACTGGGGCTGGTGGCGGCGAGAGAAGTCGCTTCCTTGGGATTATTGGCACCGTTAATGTTGTTGGTGTTTTGTTCGGCGAGTGGCGCGGGCTTGATGTGAGAGAAAATGTCAGGTTTGGTGGTCTGGCTGAATGACTTGCGGGGCCGGCCCGCCTTCCTCGCGCTGGTGGAATTTTTATCGGCCGGTTGAGCCAACCGGGGCCGTTTGACGACTGGCTCCCTTGGCTGCGAGTTCGTAGAAGCTTCCAGGCTTCCGTCCATATTGTGATCGTCGTGTGGCGTTTGATGTCGAGAGTGGCTAACTTCGATGCGCAATCGAGGGGACCCCGAGGGGCTTGGTTCACGGGTCGTCGTATCCGTCGTATGGACTGTTTCTGAATTCCGGAGGGGTGGATCCTTGAGTGGAATCTTGACGGCCGGTATAGTATTCCTACCATCCAGAGCAAAGTCGCCGATACTCTCGTCGTCATCGTCATCGTCAAACGAGTCCCCGATCGGCTGGGTTCGACCACTTGGGAACGAGTCGGGCCACGGCCGCTTCCTGCTCCCCTGCAGTAGTCCTGGACTCCGTACTTCCGGTAGCATCTCGCCCACAGTCAATATCGGTAGTGAAGGGGGCAGTTGCTCCTGCTGTCTAGCCGATTGTTGTTCCTCCACGTAGCGGTTCTTCAACTTCAAGGCTTCAATCTCCAATTTGAGTCTTTCGATCTCCTCGGATTTCGATCGGAGCTCCTTCAACACCGTTGCGATCATCAGGTCCTTGCTAGCAGGGCTGTTCATGTCTGGACCGAAGCGACCGGGGCCGTTCAACTCGATACGTAGGGCGGTAAATGCATGTTTGAGTTCGAACATGGTATCGTGGAGGTTGCTGACCGAGCTGGAAATATGATCAAGGCTAAGACCTTGGTGTTGAATCTGTTGTTCCACCGAGATCCCATGACTCTCCAGCTCCGTGGATCCGACCGGGACCAAAGCGCCTGGCTGAAAAGGGGCCCTATCTCGTCGTTGCTCCTGTGGTGGGCATATCAGACGTTCGAGCGCTCCATCTTTGAAGGTAGGTTCGACGGTACGCATGGTCACGATCTCCCTGAATGACACTTTGGAAAGCTTCCAGAAGATGTTTGGACTTAGGGATTGTTGTCAGCCTAACACAAAAAGATCTAACATCA